CCTCTGCTTGACCATGCATTTTCTGCTTTTTGATACCAATTAGTGGAACGTCTACTGTCTAGCGCGTGTCGATTTCTTGAAACGGTTTAATTGATTTGTGAGCTCACAAGAAAATACTCAGAAAGCCATATTTCCAAATGTAAAAAGCAAATTTACTGTACTATGCTACATCAACTTCCCAGTCACGCATACGTGATAAAAAGCCACAAAAGATAATGTAAAGCGTAACCGAACGGCCAATATGCAGATTCGGCCATTTCAAAATACAGGTGTAATGGTAATGTGGGAGTGGGCAGCAAGGCTCCCTCATGCACCACCCCATGGAAAACCTACACCCCTTCTTGCAGATGAAGCTAGATCCACCGCTGAGCACAAGACCTTCTATAAAACGCACCAATACATAACGAGTTATCTATTGTACAGACCTTAGGAGATGAGGCAGGATTTCCATCACTCTCCTTCTTGGGCGAGTTGACGACCTCCTTGTATTCCAAAATTAAATCTTTGTCTTTCGGTATTATTTCTACGTTGCAGTCTTTAATGAAAAGAAAATACTTCAAGTTTAGTTTAGGCGTACAAGAGCAAAGTACGAGAGGAAAAGCGAAGCGTGACGCAATACCTTCAACTTTATTCAGTTTATTCTGCTGTAACACGTGCTCATGCTTCTTCTTCTCGTGTTTATCATGTGAACTTTGCGTGTTCGCATCAGATTTCGCCATCTTATTCTCAGGTGTTGAATGGTATTGTAATGGCGCGGTGCTGGTCGTAGTAGTTGCTGTAGATAGATCTGTCGGTGTTTTCTCCCAGTCGTAAAGGTCACTTTTCTTAATGCCTTCTCTTTCCATCGCTTTCTCGAGTTGTTCAAATACGAACTGAACGGAAATAATGTTTTAAATCGATAGTATTACACACACGCGTTAGTTATTCGCGCGCAACGGAATTGGTACGTGTATCCTAGCTATATGTTGGGCGGATACATCAAGTCGTTGCTGCAATTTTGGGTGTAATTTGAATAGAAATTTTGGCTGTAATTTTGGGTG